CAAGAATTCACTGCGGCAAAACAGAATTCCTGAGACAATAAAGTTGGGCAATAAAAACAATAATCAAGACATCAATGCATTGCTTAAGATACACAACCCCAAGGCACTAATTACCCTAAATGCTCAAATTAACCCCCCTCTCCTCCCTCCGCCCCTCAAATAGGCACCCCATTCAAATAAGTACCACCCTTTTAGGCTTCAAATGTTAAAATAAATAAAAATAATATAAAAATATTGTAAATAAAAATGCAATCTTTGCAGGATGAAGGCATCGCAAACATTAGTCAAACATAATAATTTATTATGATTTCATTGCACTTGTTTTTCTATACATCAAGGGCCAGCTGTTTGGTTAATTTAGTTGGTCATATTTGTTAAGGAGGTTTTTTTAATTTTACTAACATGTCGTTGCAAGATCTTTTCAGTGGCATCCATGTCTCATCCATTTCTTTGTTGTATCTAAATGAAAGCAATGCTAAAAACTCCCCATTTCACTAAAATCAAAAGTTAATGGGAACATTGATCTGAGAAGGTTTAGTGGTGTAACTCAATCGAACATGATGCAAAGATTTTGGAAGGTTCTATAACACTATGTGGATCTTTTGAATTCTCAACATTCTGTCAGAAAATCTAAGTTTGGTACATGCGCAGTAATGGGATAGTGTTCGTTTAAGCTTCCGGCCCTCCCCTTCGTATAAGCGACCACCTTTAAATTTAACACCCTGCCTTACTAAATACATGGTATACTGTACTTTTATCTTTCAAAAGGGTAGCATAAAAGTTACAGTCACAAGAGAATAACTTATTTGGGGACATCACAGGATCAGATGTTAATGACTCAGCTCCTCTGAATAATTATAGTGCTTGAGGATAGTTTTAATGCAGGTAAGTTCCAAGCTAAGGACACAAACATAACACACTTGGGTATTTATTGAAAAATATGTTGTAGTTTCATTGCTTAGTTTTTTTGTCTGTGTGGAAGAAAGACAAATGCTATCTCGAGGCTGAAAAAAAAAATGAAATAAGCGACCCCTTTCAAATAAGTGTTTCCCCCTCAAATAAGCATAAATACGACAAATAGGCATCCCCATTGCCTGCCGCTGAAAATCAATTAACCACCCCCTCCTGGGATTATTTCCAGATCTGCAGAAATCAAATCATTTGACACCTTGTGATGTAATATAATTATTATATTACATGTACCTGATCACAAACATGTTCACGTACCCATAATGCACATCCCATACGTAGCCACAATTGGGAATCAGTGTTTCTTAAGGCCTGTATTCCAAACAGTCTGAGCAGTACACAATATTGACAGAAGTTGTTTTCCTTGTATCATGGTCAGTGATTTTTTTGTTGTTTGTTGTATGTAGTACACTACTCAAAGTATGTGAAAATCTTGTAGTGACACCATGAAACTATACACGTATTGCAGATTAGAAATTGCACGCGATGAATTCTGTTCCAAAATGTAGATGTGTTGGGATCTCAATCTTCTAGGAAGGGACCCACTGTTGTTTGATTCAATATTATAAGTGACCACCTCCCTAAGATGACCTGACTCAATCTTTGCATTCTTGGTGGTCGTCAACAATAGTTTAGACTGAATGGAAATGAGAAAGAGGAGACACTTAATGGAAGAAAATGTTAGCTACTTAAAAGCAGAAAAGAAACCCTTGAGCTTTATACAGCAAGGAAAGGGGAAAGTTTACTGTCATTTTCGATTCTTTTAAGGCGCATGCAAGCAGATGGATCACTGCCTAACTAATGACATTATCAACAGAATTTCCCGCAGCATTACTATGTTTTAGATACCCTAGTCTACTAATAAAAGATTTTTTGAATGCACTAACAGCATCTGTTCTAGATTTCTCTTATTTTAATTCTGTAAAATTCACCTATATTAATGATATGAATTTGATTTTTCTATACCAGGTCACTATTAATTTGTTATTTCTAGATGGCAAGAAGAACTGTCGAGACTTTTTATTAACAATTTGAAACATGGAGCATTATTCCAATACAAAATTGAGAGCTTACTTGAAATATGAAGATGGATTAGCAGTTTTGGATCTAAAAGAGAAAGGACTATCCAGGGTACCTGATGCAGTCACTGAACTGAGTGAAATAGAGAATCTTGTGCTGGAAGAAAATAACTTGATTAAATTACCAGCAAGTATCAGCAAGCTGAAAAATCTTATTGTGCTCAAATTGGATAGCAACAATATCACTGAACTACCTGCTGAGATTGGTGACCTCAGGGAGCTGAGGGGGCTGAGTGTGACTCACAACCAGTTGGTTGGTTTACCTACCAGTATACAGAGGCTGACCAAGCTTGACTGGCTCAAGTTGGATGGAAATAAACTAACTGAACTACCTGCTGAGATTGGTGACCTCAGGGAGCTGATGTGGCTGATTATGAGTTTCAACCAGTTGGTTGGTTTACCTACCAGTATACAGAGGCTGACCAAACTTGAAGAGCTGTACTTGGATGGAAATAAACTAACTGAACTATCTGCTGAGATTTGTGACCTCAGGGAGCTGAGGAGGCTGTGGGTGAGGGGCAACCAGTTGGTTGGTTTACCTACCAGTATACAGAGGCTGACCAAACTTGAAGAGCTGCACTTGAATGGAAATAAACTAACTGAACTACCTGCTGAGATTGGTGACCTCAGGGAGCTGAGGGAGCTGTGGGTGAGTGCCAACCAGTTGGTTGGTTTACCTACCAGTATACAGAGGCTGACCAAGCTTAAAGGGCTGTACCTGATTGGAAATAAACTAACTGAACTACCTGCTGAGATTGGTGATCTCAGGGAGCTGAGGAGGCTGTGGGTGAGTAACAACCAGTTGGTTGGTTTACCTACCAGTATACAGAGGCTGACCAAACTTGAAGAGCTGCACTTGAATGGAAATAAACTAACTGAACTACCTGCTGAGATTGGTGACCTCAAGGAGCTGAGAGAGCTGTGGGTGAGTGCCAACCAGTTGGTTGGTTTACCTACCAGTATACAGAGGCTGACCAAGCTTAAAGGGCTGTACCTGATTGGAAATAAACTAACTGAACTACCTGCTGAGATTGGTGACCTCAGGGAGCTGAGGCAGCTGAGTGTGAGTCATAATCCTTTAACTGTTGACGCAATAAGACGTGCATTGAAGTTAAGAAAGAAAGGAGTACTTGTAGATGGTGTTGCAGGTAAGCACGGCGGATATTATAGTTATTTGGAAGTTCGAAAAAAAACCGAGATAAAATTCCACTATTTGCCTGGGAAAGGGAAGTCATTTTTTTTTCAGTTATCGGGGGTTTCGCGAATTTAAGGGTTTGATAAATCATTAAGATATGCTACAAACTGTACTTTCAAAATCAATGGTAAATTTCTTGTACGTATTAATTCATTTTAATTAATTCGTCTGTTTTAAAGTTTCAAATCAGCTGTGAAAAATAGCTATTATCCAGGGTGCACCAAACATTGTAAGCTATTGTACTCCATCACACCCTTACTAAATGACTCACCGGTTGCGCTTGGAAGTAGTGGGCGAAAGAGAGAACGGGCTCGCGTGTCTCCTTCTCGCGGGCCCGTTTTTTCTTGTGCCCACTACTTCCAAGCGCCTGCTATGCAGGCTACACCGTTAGTGTTTTCACGAACTTTCAGAGGGAGAGAAGCGATGACCGGAAATACGTCTGCTGTTCGCAGACTAAAGAAATACGAGCTGACCCCTAAAAACGCCTGCGGGGGTTACCTGCGAACAGCAGACGTCTTTCCGGTCGTCGCTTCTTTATTTTTCGGAGGGACAGAAGCGACGACCGGAAATACGTCTGCTGTTCGCAGGCTAGTATTTCTGCGGAGAGGGAAGAAATACGAGCTCCCCTAGAAACGTCTGTGGGAGAGGCTATGTTTTCACTGTGGTCGATTTGCTGCTGAACGGAACACTTTTTCTGGGTGCTTGTTGACATACCGACGATTACTAGCTGTTTTCACTTTTAAATTTAGCTCGGAAGAACTCAAAGGATTCAAATTTAAAAAGCGCGCCACATTAAAACATGTTAAGAGACGAAGCGCTTTGAATGTGTTTTCGTTTAATGCTTCTCGCTATTTTATGAATGCAGTTGAATAGTGTCTCTAAAGAGTAAGAGGATAGGAAGTAATGTTGTAATCCTGTTTCAAAATGTAACAGCAAAACAGCAATAATTGCCGTAAGTAGCGTGGGTTTAACCCGCCGTGCCAAATCGATGAAACTCTTTAGTCGAAATAATGGCTTCTGTTCGATTTTAAACGATATTAATTAAGCGATTGATATCGGTAATCGATAAATATCGAAGATCGAAAAAATTGTGAGTATCAATTTTTACAAATGTCATCAATTTTCATCCATTTTATCGATTGTCAATTGTAATCCTTGAATAATGATTTCAGATACGTTTGCGCTACCACTGGCTACGAATTAGTAATTAAAAGTCTTACCTATTAATTTTCGATTTATTCATCGAGGACAAAAGATTCACCCGTCCTTATTGTAAATGGGCTCTGGTGGTAGCCCTTCACTACAGCCTCTAGTAATATAAAATGTTCATTTCGCCGGTCATTTGGCAGGCGTCTGTCACAACGCGCGACGAGATTCTGATTTATGAGGACAAGTTGCACCATCTCGCGTGGTTGTCTAACTTTTCGTAATTTTTCGGTCATAAAGCCGAAAAAACAGTGAGCATGTTTAACTCGCTAACACAAGACGAGGTGTTTTAACTGTATTTCTGGACTTTTCTGGCTTTATCTAGCTAAAATTAACTCAGTGAAAACACAACCGCAGAGTCTTAAAGCCATTTTTCACTTAATGGATGAAGTAATATTGTCATGTTATAGTTATGGAAGATTGGCCGCTGAACACAATATGTATTAAATAAAAAATTATTGTCACAGAACAATAAACAGACCATTAAGGATGAAGAGTTTTGAGCTGTTCAGGAAGCTCGCTGTTCAAGATTCAAATTAGAAAAGGTGGCTTGGTCTGCTGTGTTTAAGCCTGAGAAAGTACTTCTCCTGATCTAAACAATAACTGGTCTGAAATTTGCTATACCATTTAACAAAATTATAAGTCACACTTAGCTTCACTTAGGTTTGTTTTGCAAGTTAGTTTTTGTTGTTTTCCCTGCAGCATGCACGGCCATAGTGTAAGTGAATTGTCAACCAAACCTTCCCACCACTTCAAAAGCATAATGCTTGGAGAGGAGGAAACAAACTAGAGAATAATTTAAACAAAAGACTTAAATTATTTAGCGTAATGACTCGATTTAGTGTCCAGAGCCCTTATATACTTATGGTTTCTCAAATGAGGACGCTTATTCGAAACAGGGCGTCTATTTCTTTTATGTTGCGAAGCAAAACTCTCGAACCATGAAACAGGGGCAGGGCACCTTATGAGCAAGAATTGGCAAAGGTCTACGATCATGGCTGCTTCTGGCAATCCCTTGATTTGGAGGTCGAAGCTTGTTCATGTAGGCGAATTCTCGTCTGCTATACGAGGTCATCATGTCTACAAAGCGACATGGTCTCCAACTAAGACTCAAATTCCAAGCTATCAGTGACATTCAACGCTTTAACCTTCCAATCGTTCCGACAAATAATAGCAACACCACCACCGATCGGCGAGCCAGCTCGATCTTTCCTGACCATAATATAACCCTCTGGGCAATTCGAATGTGACAGGATTATCATACTCAACCATGACTCCGAAACAAAACAGTCCTCGAATACAAGGCGTCCCTCCAATAATCGCCCACCCTTACCCCTCTCGCCATCTTCTCTTTCTTTTATCCCCTCCCTGTCAAGTTGCAGCGGAGCCTGATCCAGCAAAACTGATTAGTGACAATTCAAGCTCGAGCGCCGAGGAACACTTAAGAAGCCCATGTCTTGTTTATTTGATCTTATCAATTTTTTTAATGAAATAATAAAACAAAATATTTAGGGCACGACCTCCCGTGAGCAATATTTGAAATAATCCCCCCTCAAATAATCGACTGCTTTTTGTGGGAAAAAAATAGTCATCGCTCCCGGCTATTATTCGAGGAAATACGGTATCAATGCTATTGTCACTAAGCTCAGCATAGAGAGTCGGAACTGCATCAGGTTTTGCCCGGCATCGGGCATTCAAAACCATACACTTTGGCACTATCTTAGGTGCTGCAGGCGGTTTGTTGATTTAACAATCGAGAGCGTTCGCGGCTGTTCACTCTGGTTGCGTGAATTAGGGTCAACCTTGTCACGATAGGATGGAACAATAGCTGGTGATTGAATAGCAGCGCTTATTGGTATTGGGGCGCTTGGAATGCCCAGGTGGGGGGGTCCTTCCTAGTAGTAGGCTAATGGGTATGTGCCGCTGGATTGGGCCGCATTTTAACGACTGGATTGACTATTATGGGGTTACATTTTTATAAGAGTTACTGGAACGGGGTCGCACATTTTCAGGATTTTGGGGGTCAGAAAATTCAGGTATGTAGGGATTTATAAATAGAAAGATTTACACCACACCAAGTTTAACAAAAATGTGGCAGATGATTTTAGGATCTTCTAGTTAAAATGCCTTAGAAGGTAGATGCATAAGCAGAAAGTCAGTAAGTTGGGATTGCAAAAATTACTTTTTTCGAAAAGTGACTAAGATGGGGTCTATAATATCGCCACAGTATGGACTATAATGGGGTCGGGGTTTTGAGAGGCCAGCGGCACATACCCAACAAAAATTAACCCAAGTAACCCCTCCCCCCCCCTCCCCCCCCACGGGTTGGAAAAAGGGTGCTTAGGCAATAGAGGTGCTTATTAGAAAGTCAGCGCTTATTTTTACGCACCATTCATGGTGTTGTAAACATGCATGGAGACTTGACGTAAGCACAGTAAAAAAGACAACTTTAAAATAGCAGGTAGATTGTTTAACAGTATCAAAAATAACCAACATTTAATTTTATCTGTCACATTTGAAATTCAGTAAAATTATGTTTACCATAGATTTGTTTTAATAACAACTTAAGAGACCGTACTGAAAGATTACAAGAAGGGCAATAAATACTAGTATTGATGTAGCCCCCCATGACCCTCCTAGGTCCGTCAAGTGAAATAGAAGCCAATGAACTACGCAACCTGTAAGACATTACTTACCTTTAATAAGCATCCTTTTTTTCACTAGCTCCTTTAGAAATAGAAGCACGTGGAGAAAAAGCACAGCTCGCTTATCAAAGTGCTCTTAAATATGGAGCTGTTAACGTTTACCGTGGTCGAGTATTGCTTATTGGACAGGATCGAGCAGGAAAAACAAGTTTGAAGAAGTCTCTCATTGGTCTACCATTTAATTCAAAAGAAAAAAGCACTGATGGAATTGAAGTGGATCCTTCAAAATTTCAGTTGGACGTTGGTGAAGTCAGGAATTGGCAACCTATTGATGAGAGAAAACAAGGATTGCTGGGATGTTCGAGAGATGTGGCACAGGTGATGGTGGAAAAGATGTATGATATTCCAGTTAGCCGTGCCTGGGTTCAGGAAGAGGAAAGAGGTGAAGCCATTCTTCAAAGTGATGATAACAAGAATAGGAAACAGGTTGATACTTATGGAGAAAAGGAGGAAGTTTCTCTTGTGAACCAGGTTTGTCTTTGTTGGTTTTGAAGTGTGATGTTTTTTCGCGAATCCATCCTTACTGCAAGAACGTCCTGACAGTAGTTATTATAAATTGATTATCGCCTTCTTCATAGGTTAGGTTACAGTGACTTCCCTGCCCTTTGCCACGGTCTCTGTATGGAAAATATGTAACAACTGCCAGATCGTTTTCTAGCTCGTTTTCCAATGCTGGTTAAAAATTTAAACCAGCGCTTTTATACTTGTAAGTTTAGTTCCGAGAGTAGAATGTTACTACTATCAACCATTTAGTTATATTTCAATGACTGTACCCATCTACACGTAAGCTGAGCCTTTGGGTTAGTAGCGCGTGTGCAAACTAAAGTGAGTTTAACCATAATTATTTTTATTCATACTTTTAAGTGTTAATTAGGCCTTGAACGTAGCTCTCCCTTATTTTGTTGTTGTTGTTGTTAATCACAATTTCGTTATTGTTTTCTTTTTTATCCGAGGAGTAAAGCCAAGGGGCTGGGAGGACTCAATCAAACACCATTTTCCTATATGTTCTTAAACTCACTGTTCCTTAAAAAATGCAAGAACGTATTAACGTACGTTTTGGATACCTTATGCCTCCAATAATCGTACCTCAATGTTTGAGCTTATTAAGAATTTTCTGTCATCAAAAACAACTTTAAATGGGTGAATAATCGAATCGGAGGGTGAAAAGGAGTAATTAGGTGTTCATTATTTCATCATTCCAACTCGAAAATTTTCCTTGTTCCATTATTCCAGAAAAAAAAGAACAAATTATTCCGTTGAAAACATATGCTTATTCTATTATTCCGCGCCACAGAATCAGAATCAGAATCAACAGTTATTTTTTTCACACTCTGCTACAGGTTGGTGATCCAAACGAAGACAGTGTTAGTGAACCCACATTAACAGAACCTGATCATGAGTTAGTGGTTGATACTACTTCACCTCCAGAGGAGATCAAGGATCGAGCTGTAAATTTGATAAAGTATATGAAAGGTGATGATGTTAAGCCTGAAGAATCTGTTGTCAGTATTGAACTGTGGGATTTTGCTGGACAACACGTGTATTATGCATCCTATCCTGTATTTTTATCATCACGTGCGCTGTACATCTTGGTGTGCAACCTCAGCAAGTCACTGCATGACACAGCCAAGCCCTGTGTAAGACAAGGGTCCCGTAATGTTCCTTTGGAAAACCCAAATGGAGAAACAAATCTTGAGAACTCGTTGTCTTGGCTGTCCACAGTGCATAGCGTCGCACAAATGAGAAGAGAAACCTGTGATGACGTAGAAAAAGAGGTGCCTCATTATTTGCGCCCCCCAGTGATCATTGTAGGAACCCATGCAGACAAACCATTTGAAGACATTGAAACAATGAAAACAGAAATCCAGAACGCAATTGCTGGTAAGGACTATGAAGGACATGTGGTGCGGCCTATCTTCAGCATTGACAACACTGCAAAATTACTTCAGAGTAAGATCAGAAATGTTTTTACTGCGAAAGATGAAAACATTGATGACATCCAAGCTTTACAAGTCAAAATTATGGAAGTGCTAAGACAGGAGCCTTACATTGGGGAGAGGATACCTATAAGGTAAAAAATGGTTATACAAAAACAGAATCCATTAAAGTAAATATTAAATAAATTCTTGTGAAGGTTTAAGCTCTGAGCGCACTGAGAGTGCTGTTTATGTGTATGGCATTTGTTTTCGCCAGTCCTTGTAAGATTTTTCTTTGATGTGCAATGTGTTTCAGGTGTCTTAAGTAACTCAGTGGCTGCGACGTTATATAAAAGCGTGACCGGAAAACAGCTAAAGGCTGGTTCATTGTATAGTCCTTTCCTTTGGTTACAGAAGAACAGAAAAAATTCAGTGATTCCTGTATGAGCCACCTGGCGGTAATAAGAAATGAATATCTCGTTGTTTGAAACAAGTTAACCATGAAAAGCAGTTTTGACTGGCCTTAAGGAATATTCTACCCTTAAGGGTTTGATAACGTTATTACGAATTGACCAAAAAGCGCCATGTACATTTCAATTGTCGTTTTAAAAAGGTAAAGTAAAGTGGATCACACACAGATATTTATCAAGTGGATACAGTTATCCACCTTTCGAACAACTGGGCCCTGTACTTTAGTCAGTATAGGTAAACTGTGTATATGTGACATGGATACTTAAACACGCGCTATCAATTTTCTCTTCGGTTTTGTAAACTAGGTGGCTGAACTTTGAGAAAGTCATCAACGCTTTACTTTCCAAGCCAGTTTATTACCTGAGTATAACAAAGCTACGGACCCATGCCAAGGAGAAGTGCTTCATTGATGAAGAGGAAGAGTTTACAACCATGGTGAATTTCTATCATGACCTGGGGATAATTATCAAGCACCGTAGCACAGTCATCTTGAGTACCCAGTGGCTGATAAACTTGTTCGGGCAGCTGATCACTATTCCAGATTTTACGAAAATGGTAAGAAATGGATTTTAAACGTGTTTTAAAAGTTGCGTGGTTTATAATGGTCCACATTTTGGATGACATCACAGGCTTCCAATCGTGCTGTAGCTAATAAAAATAATTATATCAAGTGCATTGCCCGCTATGTTTTTGAAAATGTTAACTCTTCCTCAAATATTTGTAAACAGCAAAATCGTAGTGGATTGGGCTGCTATTTAATATTTCCCCAGTGTAAAACAGTTAGGGTAGGCGATGTAATTCTGAAATGAAATCTTAGCCGACCAAACCTATAACAACTGAATTAGTACTAACGTCTGGTCAGCAATCGTCCCTGTAATCAACCCGCTATACTGACGTCACTAAGAGTAAACATTACAATGAAACATTTTCAGTGCACGTTCTTATTTGAACGTTGTAATATCCCAAGAGGATTCTTGTTTCAATTTCGAAGGACATCAGGTGGCATCACGAGGTAGCCGCTAACAATAAAAGGAACTTATAACCAATTTACCTGCAATTTACCTTTTATGTAGGGTCAAAGGAATCGGACAACCAAACAGAGTGAAAATACATATTGTATACAGAAAGGAAACCTGACTTTTCTCCGCCCTAACTGATGCACGCGAAGAGCGGATTGCGAAAAATTTATAACACTGCTCAACCTACACAAAAAAACGAAGAAGTTTAGCCTGTACCAAGCAGTATTGTCTCCTACGTTGACTTCCTTTTGGCTCGTTACGCAACCCTCTTCAACTAGATTACAAGTAGTCTCTTCCTCAGGGATAGTGGAGCGAGCGAATTACACGAGCGCGCGTGAAATTTGTCACCCTTGAGGAAGGTAACAAACTCTCCTGTATTTTAATCGCTTTAATATCCCAGAGGAAAATAAGGGGCCACTCGTAGTCTATCCTCAGTAGTATATTAGGCATAGAATCAGCCTCTTTTGCGGTGGAATCTTCGCTGGAATGCATAAACGCTGATGACGTCACAACCTTTTGTCTTCATGTTGAATCTCTTTAAAGGGTTTAAAACAGCACACGGCCTTATCTTAGGGCCAGTTTACATCGAAGTGGAGGACCCTAGGTAGGTGAGGTAACCCGCTGCTGGTCACCCCAGCTATCATGTAAACGTGGTCAAATTAAAATGAGACGTTATGTGGACAGGCGGGTTACCCCATCTATGCGGGTTACCTCACCTACCTGGGGTCCCCCTCCTCCATGTACACAGGCCCTAAGATAAGGTCGTGTACTATTTTCAACCCTGTTGACAGGGTTTCCAGTTATTTCTTGGTAGATGAAGGTCTTGCTTTTTGATTGGTTGACGACTACATGTAAGAACAAGGAAAAGTATTCATTGGTTGATTCAGGTTGTCGCAGGAATAAGCGCTAACTCAACTGTGACGTAGTTATGCAAGTTACATTTCATACCGCTTTCATTGTTCAATAAGTTGTTCCGGTTTACTATGCGCGCAAATCGTTAATTTTTCATGAGTACAAAGCCACACTAGCCCTTTCTACCACGAAAAACATTTTTCCACTTTCCCACATCCCTTTTTCCTTGTCCACATTTCATTGTTTCACGTTGTTTCCTTCAACCACGACAACCACGTTTCTATTGTTTCCTCTCAGCGCGAGGTTATGGTGAACGTTGTAAAGAAAAGAAAACTTAACTTCGTAAATCTTCTAACGTGATTGGAAAGAATTGTGTGACGAACCAAACGGAGGGCTGCTTAGAAGGCTATCCTCTTTACTTTTATTCACACAGTAGTACTTGCTAGGCAGACTACGTAACTTTTACTATAAAGGCGTCCAAACACAAAAAAGGAAAACTGTAGATCTTTTTCTTTGTTTGTTAATTAAAATATTAAATAAAATAACCAATAATTTACAAGTGCATTAATTAACTGGCTCAAGATTCTCCCAAAATATCACTGTTTTAAGAAAACTTTGTTGTTGTCCTTCACCTTATTACGTCTTAGGTTCCTAAGGTTGCCAAGCACTGGAAGGAAGTTAAAGAAAGCGGTGTTCTCTCCATGGAACTGGTTGATCTTGTGTTTTCCAACTTTCTTCTGAAGGGTGTTGCCAGGAAAGACATTCTTGATTTGATGGAACGATTTGGATTGATTGCAAAATTTTCATCTTCAAAGACAGGTGAAAAGTATTTTGTTCCATCTCAACTCAAAGCTTCGCCTGATTCCCTTTGTTCTATGGCGCCCTCAAGGCTGGACCCATGTCCCCTGTATGTTTACTTTGTCAGCGGTTCTATTCCCCATGGTCTGTTCACACGGCTTGTTTCTCGATCTGTCCGTTGGTGTTCTGAAGCTGGTCCAACTCAGTCCCCTACCCTGTTCCAAAATGGAGCGTGGTTTGTTATTGGGAAGCAAAATTTCCATGATTCTGTTCTTATTTGTAAGAAGCAGTTTATTAAGTTTTTTATCAAGCAAAGAAACCAAACTCAGCAGATCTCAGTAGATGACACAAGTGAGGTGGCGGTGCAGGTTCGTAAGTTTGTGGAGGCAACTTTGCAAGTTTTGTCACGTGATCTCTATAAAGGTGGATTGCAGTATCATATTCGGGTCGCCTGTCCGTATTGTCAGTGGGACAAATGCTCAAGCCATAAGCAGATTGCATGTCCTCATGAAGATTGTCTTCACCTCCTTGAGTTACGACAAGGCGATCCTCTGATTTGCAAGAAGAAACCTGCAGAGGAGGTACTCACGGTTACGGGACAAGAAAAGTGGTTTTCACAAATTGAAAGTAAGGTAGGTAGCAGTGAAATACAATCTCCAGCAGTGCTGTTAACATATTACATATCAATCGAATACACATACTACTTAAAATTGTGTCTTTATAAAGAGTAGCCACAGTGACTGTAGCCATATATTTAAACTAAAGAGGCTTCAACAAAGTCCATGGATGTGCTTTGTTAAGGTTATGGTATGAGGTTTAACGTATGCCTTTATTTATCCTACCACGAGCTCCACTGGAGTGTACGACAAGGCTTTGTTGCTATCAACTTAGCGAACATTGGTACTTAAAATCAAGAAAGTTGATAAGGTCAATTGGCTACCATGTGTTAATAATTGTTATTGGCGTGTAGGCATAGCAGTTGGTATATAACTTTTTCTCAAGGTCTTTGTAAATGTAATGTTTTGCTTTGCGGGTGGGCAATAAGTTTGTAGCATCTACCGTGTTGATAACATGTTTTGCAAACTTTCATTCAAAAAGCCCCTAGATATTAAATTTCTATTTTAAAGTATCCAATTTTGGTTCCCCTTGCAGGAAGCGTGTTCTCCATCATCATCACCTGATACTGCACAGATTCGTCCAGAGCGTCTGGTACTGAAAGTTACCCTTCTAGCGAATGAGTGGGGCTCGTCTAAGGGTGGCTTGTCAACAATAAACAGGACTCTTGCCATACATTTGGCAAAAGACGAAAACGTAGAAGTGACCATTCTCGTACCTGAATTTGAGTGTGGAGAAAAAGACAAGAGAGTTGCCAAAAGTCACAACATTTCCATCAGGGAAGCAGGGCATCTACCTGGCTTTAGTGATCCTCTTGACTGGTTGAGCTATCCACCAGAAGACCTTGACATTCAGGTTGTGATCGGCCATGGAGCAAAGCTTGGTAGACAAGCACAGATTATCAGAAAGTCTCATCGATGCAAGTGGGTGCAGGTTGTTCACACTGAGCCTGAAGAGCTGGCAATGCATAAGAACTATCCAAGCGCCATTGCCAAGGGAGAAGGGAAGAACAGAGCTGAAGTTGACCTTTGTCAAATTTCAGATCTCGTTGTAGCCGTTGGACCCAAGTTGAAGGAAGCGATCTCGTCCCAGTTGCGTTCATCTCGTCGAGAAGTCTTTCTATTTGTACCAGGTTCCTTTACAGAGTTTTCAGATGTTGAGCATTCTGAACAAGAGAATGTAAATTTCAAAGTGTTAACCTTCGGTCGCGGTGATTTCGAAGACTTCAGTCTTAAAGGATACGACATTGCCGCTCAATCCATAGTTGAATTGAAGGACAGCTCCTATAGTCTTGTTTTCGTTGGTGCATCCGATGGAAGGCAGGATGACGTCGCAGAAATCTTACTCCAGACTGGCATTTCAAAGAACCAGCTGATTGTGAGATCATTTGTGAAAGGCAAACAAAGATTGAAAGAGTTGTTTTGTGAAGTCGATCTGGCCATCATGCCATCAAGAACTGAGGGGTTTGGTTTGACAGCATTGGAAGCCATGTCAGCCGGTCTTGCCATTCTGGTAAGTGGAAACTCCGGATTTGGAAAAGCACTGCGTGGTCTTCCAATGGGTGAGTCATTTGTGATCGACTCTGATGACCCCAAGGAATGGGCCAAGGCAATTGCAGCCATCCGTCAAAAATCAAGGGCGCAGCGGCTTGAGGAAATCCAAAGACTGCGAAGAAGTTATGATGAAAGTTTTTGTTGGGAGGGACAGTGCCAGGCCCTTGTTGACAGGATGTGGAAGATGGTCTATGGTAAGAAATCAAATTTACCGATAGAAAAGTAACGATAATAATAATAATTAGTACCTGATGATTTTCAAATGCGTATCTTTTCAGTATTATCCTCCATTTGGCCTTCATAATTCATCGCTGTATGTCCATTGCTTCTGCTTTAGCGATTGCATAAATACATTTTTACTATATTATGTTTCGTGGTCCATGTGCATCCCTGCAGAAATATTTTTGTGAAACTTTTATTCTTAATATAGGGATTCACATTCTCCACACTGTTCTTCATACATTCCTTGGGTTACTGATGAGGAGATTTTGTTTAACAATCAAGCTATTTTTTTACCGGCTGATCAATTCCATTTTTTAAAACTTTCATGTATAATTTTATAACATATTGGCTACAACTGGAAGAGTTAACGATCAATTAAAATTTTGATTCTATAAGATTGCGATACATCAAAGTCATCTGATTTCTATTCATATCGAGCAGCAATGGTGAGTTGTCACAAAAAATGAAGGTTGGAATCGTTCATTTTTTTTAAGAGTGACATAGTTTTCTGTAAATCATCAATTTTTTAAACTTTACAGGTCTTGAAAAAAACAGAGAAGATGACGTTCCACAGAACGACTGTAAAAAAGATGATGCAACAGAAGCGATAGCAGGTAAGTTCATTGTTTGGTTTGTCAATTAAACCAGTAGAGTGAGGTTATTTTCTTCTGTTAAACCAGGGTACTTTCGATTTTTCGGGTGCTTTTAGCTTTTCAATGCTCAGTGTAGCATCTCCAAGTAAACTGACGTAAAATAATGTTTCCCTCCCCCGCTTACAGGCCAAACCATTTAAATCTACTGCTAATTTTAAACTTTTGCAGGTGTTGAAAAAAACCGAGAAGATGACGTTCTAAAGAATGACTTTGAGAAAGATGCTGCAACAGGGCCGATGGCAGGTGATGTCATTGTTTGCTTTGCCAATTAAACCAAAGCCAAAATATATTTTTGCAGTAGAGTTAAGTTACTTTGTTCTTTTAAAACCACAGTAATTTTTCTGAAATTGTCGACTGTTTTAAGCTTCAGACCAGCGCACAGTGCTGCACCTGTTTTATGGAACTCGCTGCCATTGACTATAAGAACAAATAGCAGCCTCGCCATTTTTAAAAAGCATCTTAAAACATTCCTTTTTAGGAAAGCTTATAATCTACTAGAATGACTCTGAAGTTTAATGCTTTGAATATTTTCATTTAATTTTGTATAGAATTTTAGACTTTTATTTTTTAGATTTTTGCATAGCATGGAATTTTTTTATTATTGTTATTGTTATTATTAGCTTTTCAGGAATTTTTTTAATTGTAACTTAATGTTCAGCGCTTTTGAATATGTTATAGTTCTAGCACTATACAAATTGTTTATCATCATCATCATCACTATCTCCTATTAAACAGGCGTGAAATAACCTCTTCATGTATCTTATTTTGTCTTTTTCATCTTCCGCTTACAGGTGAACCCATTTTCCTTGCACTTCAACAAATCCTGTTGGAAGCACGCATAGAGTCCAGCAAAACTGAGCTGTCGCAGGCTTTAAAGACGACAGCGTTAAAGAAAGGTTTTGCGATTTCTGACAATCAAGGGGAGGGGAACTGCATGTTTTTTGCACTTTCAGAGCAGCTTGACCTCATCAAAGGAATTCAAATCTCCCATGATGAGTTACGCCGAACTATTGTTCAACACCTTCGGGAAAACCCCAGGCTGGTAAGTACCTTATTATTTTTGCTTGGGTAGATTCATTTGCGAGCCGTAAGCCGTCGCATTTGCCCGCTTTGCTTTTAAGGTTATAAGTAATAAGGCCCCGTCCACACGTAGCGTATTTGAATTTTTTTTCGCCCGTCGGCATAAAAACGCTGAAATTATTGAAATATGGTAGCATCCCTCACAGAACAAACGCAGTGGTACTAGCATATAATGTATGACATCGTCGTATTAGAAAGCCTCTGTTTTCGTCCGTCCGCACGTAAACGAAAAGTCCACTCTGGGGACCGCTTTCTGGGGACCTGCGTGTTTGGTCCCCGAAAAGGCCCTTTTCGTGTGGACGGAAGGCTAAAAATAGCCTGATACGTGTGGACGGGGCCTTAAATTCCTGCGATTAATTGTGACGCTTTACGGGTATGCTGCAAATGAATCCATCCTTTATGAGCAAAACAACAGCTCTGTGTGACCATCACGCTTGTTTAGCTCTTGTTTGTACTTTACTTCGTCGTCCACTGCACGACTACGACGTGAAACGTTTTGAGGAGGACCTTGAACGCAGGCAACGAATTATTGCTATTGGCTCCGGATGCTGTCCTTAGATTTCAAATCCTACCTTTTTTAATTTGAAAACGCGACGTAAGCGTCATAAAAATTTAAAAGAACGCAAATTCGTTTCCTTTATCGCATTTTTGACTCGAAGGTGTAAATGGACACGGATTTTAGGAAATCTGTTTCGGTCGCCTCGATCGTCTGAGTTATGTCCTAATTTCGTATAATTACATTATGTTGATAAGTATGAAATCTTCACCGAAAGCCGCTTTGTCCGAACGGCATATGTTTATATAGTGAAGTGAGGTGAAGTGAATACTTTATTTAAAGAGGGTAAAACTTGATAGTTATAATATCAACTGATAAACTTAAGGTCCTCAATACTGGTTATATATGTAGGGTCATTTCTGACCCAACGTATTTCCAAACTTTTATTATTTCATAGTAAATATCTCTTCCCCTCTCTCTTACACGTGTAACGGACACCTCCCAAAAACGTCCTCAAGTACTTTCGTTAAAGTGTTGGTCCCTACCGTTCTTAATTGTTTTTATTGGACTTTTTACAAGGCGAATAGTATAGGATGCACAGGTTAGACTTCGTTTTGGAAGTGAAATCTCATTAGTATGAAGTGGAACAAATAAATGTCGGTGACATCTTTATCTCGTGAATAAACTGCGGTAGAATCTCATCAAGATAACGTCTAAGTTATACGAGCTATTTTTATGTAGTTTCTAGTATAACCAGTTATTCTTACATTGATGATGTAACTTGCAGGGATCATGTTCTTATTTGGTTAGTATGTTATCATAGTCTATTTTATTGTCCATTGCAGACAACCTTTTGGCCTGGTTCCGGTTCACTACTAAGGCGAATATATCTACTCTAGGGCCGATACCAGTGGGGTCCGCCTTAGAGAGAGCTGACAGTGCAGCTGCCTGAATATATACCTTCTACAAAGGCACTCCACCTCTTCCTCTATTAACTACAGTATTTTATTTTTTTCTTACAGCCGGATGGGACAGAACTGTTTCATTTTGTCGACGGGTATCCGTCTTGGGATGCCTACCTCACAAGCATGTTGGCGGATGGTACATGGGGTGATCACGTGCTTCTACACGGCGCGGCATACTGTTTTCAAACGTGCATTTACGTGATCAGCAGTCTTCAGCATCACCATGACGTAATGATCTGCCCAGAGTTTGATGTTACTGGTAGCAACCGGCTCGTGCTGGGTCACGTGCACGAGCTTCACTATGTTAGCCTTATTCCACAGATAGGAGGTAAAGATGTCTGATTATACTGCGACTCAAGAGTTGATAACTCGCGATATCAAGTTGAAGACACTTGAGTTGGACAACTGCCTGAACCTTTACTGTGGCAACTTATTCGCAAAGATGCTGGCAAGAAACAAGATCTCTATTATTCATATGTACAGTTATATAATCCGTCAATGTTATGATAACGGTACAAATAGCCATATAAATAGATTAAGTATTGATAACAAAACATTTTTGGTTTCAAAAAATTAATACAGCCCCTTCAATTAGTTAGATAAATTACTGTAGTGTTTTTAATAAAACTTGGTTTTTAGATTGTTACTCCGTTTGCGGCGTGTCTAAACACTTAGTCTTACCGTCTGTAAGTACGCGAGTCAGAGTTTTTTTTCTAACCGGTTTCATTAGTATTTAGGTGTTAAGAACAGCTTCTGTTTCAGATGTCACTTGCCTGAAGTCTCTGAAATAATTCAGTGTCAGTTTTATTCATGAGTAAAATTTTTCTTAAAAGATCACCCTTACCTCAAGATGTTCCTAACAACTGAGCATCATGAGTCAAAACACATTTCCAATCGAATTTGTTGGTAAGAATCGTTCCTGTCTCAATCTGTGAATATTTTCAGCCGTTCGAGTAAAGGTTATAAAGGTTATAGTAAAATTAGTTAGGTTTAAGAGTCCCGTCCCTCTACCTAGTTAGTGAGAATCTTTTTAAAATTATCAAGTAAAGGTGTCTTATAGTTTATCAATTTATACATTAAATAAGTGTAAAAATAAGTCTAGTTAATCCGTCAATTAGCCATTCATAAGTTCGGGTCAGTGTTAAAGAGGAGAATGATTCCAGTCAAATAAGGACGCTATTTTCCTTCAAGGCAAGAATCACGTATCTAACATCCATTGTTACAGAAAATGAGCTCTAATTGATTAAAATTGGCTAACACTTTCAATATATTGTTTTTTCTTGGCCTATAGTTAAGAGTGCGAGTGGAGACTTAATGTTAAAACGCATGAAACGAGCCAGATATAATGCATTTTTTGGCATTTTACTATTAGTTATATCACTTTCTGAATTGAGGTATTCCTAAGAAACTAACTTCAAGTTTGATTACTTTCCTGAAGAATCACGAATCACAAAGTAAGAAGATCGCGCGTTTAGACCGAAGCTCAGTAATATCTGAGCTGCTTTTACGCCTCCCGCGCTAATCTTTGCTCGAATCAGTGCCACTTCACACACCGCAAGTCTATTTCACTATAAATTATTCTAAGATTTCACGTTGTGGGAGCAATAACTTTTGTCTGATGTATTGTGTACTTTCTTTCATAACACGCGAAATGCGGCCTTCAGAAAATTTCAGTTTTTCAATATATCCAGAGAACCACATGCACCACCTCCTAGAAACCCGCGCGATGCTTGAACTTTCCCAAGGACATGTCATGTCTTTTTATCATGAATTGGGTAGCGGCAGTTCCCTGTGTCAGGCGTTTGGATAGAAGAGATAGGACGATGAAGAGAGCGAAGTGGGAAGAAGGGAAGAGACCAAGGATGCTTACCATTTACACAAACCACCAGGGTGGAAATATTGTGCATAAACACAAAACTATAAAATTTAACTGGGTCTAATCACATCCCATACCGTAAAATTCCGAAAATAAGGCCCCCAAACCGGTAACGCAAGAAACCCTCCGTTAAATCGCCCCTCCAAATATAAGCCCCCTGGGGGTTTCTACCTGGAAAATTGCCCTCAAATACAAGGTAAAACAAAGCAAAAACAGTAAATTTACCTCTAACTATAAGGCTAACCCAGTGGAGTTGGAAACGCAAATTTCCCTCCGTAGATAAGCCCCTCCGAATATAAGCCCCTCCCGAAAATAAGCCCCTCCGAAAGGGCCTTTGAAAAATATAAGCCGCGGGGCTTATTTTCGGAATTTTACGTTATTTTGAGAAGCTTCGCAAACAGAGTGGCGAGAATCATTTAATTTTCCAACCGAAATTTCTGGTTTTAACATGTAAATGGTAAGAACCCCTAATCGCGAGCAGCTCGCACTTTCTAAACACCAGAGAGCAGCTAGGATGGCGAAGGTCTATGGTGGATTTCACGTAGCGTACTGCGATGAGCAAATGTATCACTCATGTAGACACTTTCATGATTAGTCCACTCGTACGAGAGCGCCCTACATCAAAACGACAATTGTCGTAGATCGATCGTTCCCGAACGTCCCCGCGATAAATAAGTGCTGGGTGTGCATTGTGCCCAGATCTTTCTATGTTATGATTTTCGTAGCTTTCAAATTAGCATTATTGCTAACCTGGGGACAGAATTCCATGAACTGAAAGTTATTTAACTCGACCAGGCGCATAACGTGGCAAAGACATCAGCGATGGCTCTCCGAAACTGCAGGCTAGGACGGTTTCTTGTTTCTAACTCCCCAAGATGTTACACGATACGATTCGCAACGATGATTTTTAGCACAACACAGCGGTTGCAATGTTGGAACAATGTTGTAACCATTCGAAACAATGCCGCAACAATGTTGCAAGGCTGTGAAGCGCTAAAAATCGTCGTTACGAATCGTCTCGTGTAACATCACCTTTAAAAATAGCCTCAATTTCAGTGGTTCTTTTGGCTTGTCACGCTGTCCTCCCCAACGTGGGGCAGTAACTTGTGACGAACCCTTGAGGAGGTCTGCGTGGGACACTACTATTAACGAGACTTTCATTGGAAAAAATCTTGCCTTTCCCCCTCCCGAAAACCATGCACAAGTGAGACCAAAATCTGCGACTGTTACCCCTAAACTGGTCAATTTTATTGGGAGTTCCCCCGGTTCATCTTCTTGATGGAGCACAACAGTTTCCTTCGGAACAAACCAATTTACATAAAAGCTTACGAAGTATGATCTTGGGCTAATTAAAGGATTAACCAAAAACAATAAGAACTAATTCTACTCAAAAGGTCTATTTGGAGACTAGTGACACAAGGTGATTCAGGGATTGCGACATTTCTCTTGTAAGGGACGGACCATTAGAAAACTTATGGAGGGAGCGGGCGAAGTACAAAAAAAAAAATTCGCGCAAGGGAAAATTGAATGAAAAAAAATTCTTGCACGCCAATTAACCCTAAAAAATATTCATGCTATGGCCTAAAAAAAATTCATACAAGGAATTTGATAACGAAAAAAAATTCCTGTGGCTCGAAAATTCCCCTCCCCCCCCATAACTTTTCTAATGGTCGGTCCCTAATGAATTGAAACGAGCCTGCTTTGTAAACGATCTGTCATTTACTGAATTAAGCAAACACTTTTCTTTGTTCTCTTCCGCAAACTGTCCGGGTGTAATACCTTTCAAGTTTCACAAAGGGCACAGCTTTCAGAAATTTGGGTGTCCTTATCCTCTCTTGACGAAGCCAATTTTTTAAGCCCTTAAACCTTAGGATAAAAATTTGAATTCTCATTTGTTGCCCCTATTCATTTCCCACAGAAGTAGTGGGGAGAAGTTGATAAAATATAAAGCCACTGATTCATCTCGTGTGATCATTTCCTTAATTCTCATGAACACACTGTTTTACAAAGTAGTGATATTGCAAGGAGAAATTTGATGCTGATCACTCTTAGGGTAGAAAGGAGAATTTGTCCTTTCTGTTTTTGTTTCGTGAGCCCGTACCACTACTGCGTCCATAAACGTGATCTCCTTGACGCTAAAAAGATCAGTTCAATTCCATAATACCTGAAAACAAACTTGACAAACTGTTTTATCCGTCATTACACCATGAAAATCTCCTCTGCCGCATGCTTCACAATACTTAGTTCCACAGAACCTGCGCTTGAATATCTGTAAATTTCGATCGAAGTAATCAGATGGAAGCCAGTTTAAGACGAATCTCGCTTAGATGATTTGCTGTATACCACGTTTCTTGATTTCTTGCAAGAATTCCCCTTTTCAGTATGTACCTGTCTCAAATTTACCATTTACACAGGCTTGATCTGTGCGTCTATATACTAATTAACTTGTGGACGACTAACTTGTACACGTAATCGGCCGGTCGTGACCATTCGAATGAAACCTTTTCATTTAAAATGCTTTCACATGCATTTGGTTCTCAATATTAAAAGGCATAATAACCTGACATACCTTACTTTTTTAAGAGCAGCCCCAGCGACACATGTTTGGAATCCACAAATTGTTTAAGGTAAGGAAAGTTCAGTTTACCCAAATTTGATTTGAAACATAAAATAGTTGCGCTTTTTTGACAGTAAGAACAGCAAAATTTTGCTTCTAAGCTGAGCTATCTGAGCTCCTACAGCCGCCCTCTACAGAAACATTATTTATATGTGCACAGCGTGTGGTATCAATATTCTAAACCAATTGACCGCTTGTTTACAATCCTGGACTGTAATGCAAATTACAATACTCACAAAGACAGAAAAAAAGGCCAGCTTAACACTCCCGCTGACTTTTTAAGTTACATCATTGTAATGATTATATTGGTTTCTAGACCTTTCTACAGCCGATTGTACATTTCAAATTTAAAGCTATGTCATGAGGACAGTTTGACAAATGGACGGGGGTCGCGGGTCGCGGGTCGCTGGTCGCGTGTCGTGTGTTGTATGTAGCGGGTGCGAAAATTCGCGACTTCCAACTCACACCCGCAACATACATCCGCGACCCGCGACGGACCACTAGTCAAACTTTCAAGACTGATATTCTGATATTGCTGTTTTAGGTCATTTCTGTGCTGTTCGTAATTTTAGTGGCTCCTCTAGCTATAGAGTCATTGTGTCAACTTACGTGTGAAGAAGATAACAAGAACATTTCACCATTACTTGAAAAAGTTTGCCGAACTTTTTCAAGTTTCAATTTATGTCCATCTTTGCAATCAGTTGCAACAGGCAACAGGCGACAGGAGAAAAGCTAATGCCTTAATGTCGTCTTATTAAATAACGGGTAAAAGCCAGGGGCGTAGCTAGCCCATAGACTTGTAGGCCCGCGGGCCTACACATTTTTGCTTTGATCACTCTACCGCTTGTA